TTTATTTGTTTTAGGGACTACCAGCAGCAGCTGATCAGCTCAAAGCCCTTGAGGGGGTGTACACCTGTAGGAGGTCGGAGATGTACTGAGGGGCCATTAAGCGATTTAAAAACAAACAATAACATCTTAAAATTAACCCTAAAATGGACCGGAAGCCAGAATGGGTGTGATGTGTTCATGCGGGTTCCTGTAAGCAGCCGAGCCGCAGCGTTTTGTAAACCGTGTTATTCTCCGTCATACGTCACCAACTCATTTCAGTGTCTGCAGCGATGACTGTTTTTATTGCATTATATTGGGCTCCCTGAAGGCTTTTATCAGCATAAAACCCGGTTTCATGTGATTTGACTCCTGCTCCTTTATTTTAGTGCATTCCTTCAGCGCCTTTTTATTGTTTTCTATTTCATTATTTTATTGTTAAACTCCATCTGCAACCCATATGCATCTCGTGGGACAATAAAGATTGAATTGAACGGCTCGGGGAGGAGAGCAGGAGACGATGGGAAAATAAAGAATAACTCGAGAAAACCATCTCACTGTGAGGAGTGTTTCGTAACTTCAGGGCTTTTTCAACATATCGTAAGATCTGGAATAAACACAAGGAGTCCTTTAAGTGCTCAGGAAAAAAAGCTGCTGGTGAATTTGATCAATGGTTCGAGAGTACGGAGGCCGACAGGTGCAAAGCATGAGTTTTGGAACATTTGTGTTTTATATCTGCTTCCTTTCTGTCTGCCATAACAGCATCTAAGAGCACCTTGTGAACGTCTGCCTCTTTCAACACAATAAACTCTTCTGTGTTTTTTGATTTAGAAACAGGTTTCTTGCCAAGTAGGTTACGCAAGAACTTACATAGAAAACATACAATACACACATTGAAAAAGCTACTAAATAAATGTAAATATGTAGGTTATAATATGTAATTATATAGATTCAATACAGAGGTTGGGTTTCTGTCGTGGATCGTGACGGCAGCTTCTCCCTCGTTTCCTCCAACGAGATTTTGGATTATTGCATACAATTTAAGATATCCTATTTTTCTGACATCAATGTAATACTCTCTAAGGATATATAATTAGATTCCACTTGTGCTCATAAAAGCTGCACTTCACCACTAATGAGTCAGTTCATCTGCTACGTGTCACTTTAACCGTCAGACACTGCAACACTGACACCTAGCGGCCAAATGCTCACACTGCAATGACATGATAGTGGGACATATACAAACATATACAAACATAAATTAGTAGACATGTATTCATTTAGATGCAACATCCTAGATATAAGATATACAGGATATCCCATTTGATTATATCTGAACTTCATATGATATGTTGTGCTTTTACCTGTTGAGAGGTTTAAATGTTACCAAAGTCTGCACAACCAAACAAAATGTGATAAAACCTCCAATAAATATGGAAACAATGTGTGTGTTTTATTTTTCAGTATATAACATGTTTTGCAAGATGTAATAATGATAATAAGATCAATGATTAAGTGGTTTACAATGGACTACTAGGTTGTAAATAAGAATACAGATCAAAACTATAGAGCAAAACTGGTTGAATTATTGCCAGAAATATTCTACAGTTTTATATATAATAAAATAGTACCCCCACCTAACAATGTACATTTCTCCTCTACTGTGGTAATAAAGAGGTATTTAAATATCCCTCCACTTTAAAATATAACACATTGAAGTTTGTCATTTATTCTCATATTTTCATATTTTTAAGGTTATTTTGTATATTTCAATTCAAGTGTCAGATTCAGATTCTCTTGCACTATTGTATCTGTTGTATTTGTTTTATTTGTTCTATGTCCTATATATATATATATATATATATATATATATATATTAGTGCTGTCAAAATTATCGCGTTAACGGCGGTAATTTAGTTTTTGAATTAATTGCGTTAAAATATTTAACGCATTTAACGCATGTGCAGAATGGCCCGTCCCATACGTGCCACCAGTGGCAGCGCCAGGGTATGGCTGGGGTAGGCTACAGCCATACCAAGAAATGGCTTAGCCCCACCATGAAAAATGATGTTAAAGGAAGCAAAATAAAGTCTGCCAACTCGCGCGGAGTAAATTGCACAGACAGCAGTTAGTAAGATTGATTTCAGTAGCCACGGTTTTGAAAACTTTTGTCACGGAGTGATCGTCTTCTCAATAGAACATCTTTGATAACGGCGTGGTGTTGTTGCAGGAAGTCCCGACGGAGAATACTTTTGCTGTAGTACAGGGGTGCACATAACTGGTACGCAGGTGCATGTGCGTAATCTGAAATGCGTACCGTCACTTGTGTCACAAAGCTCATTTGCGTACCGACGTACTTGTGAAGCTTTTCCAGAAGGCGGTTAGATCACCGGACGACAGAGTCGGTCTCCGTGTGCACAGACAGGGCTGCTGTTAACGTCGGTCTGGACAACGGAACTGTGCCAAAACTACGCCAACCGGCTGCGGAGGGAGACTCCCCCCCTTCACTGGAGAACTGCACTAAAACAGCTGATCACAACGTTCACACTCTGTGGTCACGAAGTACTCCACTAGCCCCCCCCCCCCCCCTATGTCTTTAATGATATGATGAATTGGAAATGGGGGACCCTGATGTAAACAAGCCGAAAGTCTTTCTCTGGTCTGCATCCCCTTAACAATTGTATGTTTTGAGCTGTACTGTACTGTACCCAATATACAAGCTGTTAATAAACTTTTCAATCAATCAATCAATCAATCAATCAATCAATCAATCAATCAACCCCCTCTGTCGACTTTCCTGAAGTACTCCCCCGTTGATAGAAATCAACACGTAATGAATTAAGACCCCACCCGGTTTGATGATTGATAGGTGTGTGGGTTGTCTTTCATTTTGACACGCAGAAAAATGTTATAATAAACATAGATACTGTGTTAATTGGATATATCCGCCTTCTTTCATTTATCTTTCCATTCCCAACAATATACATAAAGAAATGGCATATTTTGGACATAGTTCGAATGGTGATTAATCTGATTAATTAATTTTTAAGCTGTGATTAATCTGATTAAAATTTGTAATCGTTTGACAGCCCTAATATTTATATATGTTGCTCTGTTGGAGGAGCTTTAAGTGCGGGGCCGTTTCCTCCTATAGGCGGACTGTGCAGATGCATAGGGCCCCTGCGGCCACTAGGGGCCCCCAAGCTGAAAGTTCAGGTTCAGCCTCAATATATTTGGGGAGAATTAAAATGAGCCGTCTTTATTTGTAGACAGCCGAGGTTCAAGGTTCAAGGTTCTTTATTTGTCATACGAACATAGCTACAGAGTAGTTTTGTCGATGAAAATCTTAGGTCACAGGCTTCTCCAACAGTGCAACACAATAACAGATAAACAGACACATATAGTGCAAGTAAATATTAAAAAGTAAATACAAAAAGAAAAATAGTTTTAAAAAAGTGAAATAATGCAATAAGAGAGTGCAAGTTATTGGGATGATATATTAGATACATAGATAACTAATGACTAAGTAGCAGATGAATGTTATGTTGTTTCAACAGTGAAGCATTATATGCTTAACAATCAAATGCAGGATTTAAACACGACTAAACTGCAATGATAGCAAGGCTTGTGTTTTTGGGGTAATAAAGTCCAAATCATCGTTATGCTGTCAGCCAATGAGTGACGTCTGAGGAAGATGAAACATGTACATTATACATTGTTGAGAAAATGCTGCATCTCTTGCATTTGTTGACGTGGAGGAGCCTCAATGTTTACCTTTTAATATCATTTTTTTAAAGTTTCAATTGCTTGGTTTTCGTGAAATCAGCCTGTTTTCCTCTTAAAGTGTAACAGATTGATGCGTCTCCACAGATCACCTGAAAGGCTTCGGGATCCCCCCATTGTAAACAACAGTAAAAACTAGGGCCCCCAAACACAGACCCGGCGTCCTGGGCGGGCCCCATGGGGCCGGGCCCGCCCAGGATTTGGGCCCGCTGTTTTAATCAGGGCTGAATACCACATTGTTATTGTTTTATTATTATGTTTATTCTTGTTATTTGTAGGGCTTTGTCCTAATATTTATTTTTGTATTAGTTTAATATCATTTTTTTATTTTGCTAGGAAATTCTGAATGAAAGGCTGCGCGCAAGACTGGTTTTTCGCTGGGTTGAGTCGTGTGGGTTTTTGAGTGAGATGCGGCACAGCAGCCTGTCAGTTAGTTTACTCTTGCTCGTGGTTCATGAAAGGAATATGGCAACTCAGCGCCAGATGCAGCACATTAGAAGAAACCAGTTAGGCCTACGTTACCAACGAGCAAGCAAGTCAGCTGGCAATCAATTATATTTTGAAGAGAAATCTACTCTCAAGCCGGCTCTCTCACAAACTCCTGCTCTGTGCGCAAGCAGACCGCTGCACAGGCTCTCTGCCTCGCTCAATCCCTCTCTCTCTCCCTTTCTCTCCATCGCTCAACCTCACTCCACCTCTCCACCCTGTGTGCGCTCAAGTTTGCCTGCCCAAGTTGGCACAGCGTTACAAATGTGCCACAAAACCAACCAATGGACAGACCGTCAACAGCCTTATGGCAACCTAAAACCCCTCTCTTTCAACAATTCACGAGCGCCTCCCTCCTCCCCCCCATTGACAAATCGCGAGCATCTAACAGCCCCCCCCCCCCGTTGACAATTCAGATTTCCCGGGAAATGTAGCCTAAGTGTCGTGGTGGGCCCGCCCTGGTAAATCCCGCCCTGGTAAATCAAATGCCCGCCCAGAGATGTATGTCTCCAGGTCACCCTTGAAAACAGGTCACCCTTGAAAAAGAGATCTTTTGATCTCAAGGGGCTTCACCTGGTTAAATAAAGGCTACAAACAAACAGGGTCTGCGGCCAAACAGCATCTTCATAGGGCCCCCAAACAGCTAGAAACGGCCCTGCTAAGTGTATCATTGCCATATCTACACTGTAGCCAATGTGCAAATGACGATAAAGCCTTGCAATGGAATTGAAGACTACATTACCCAGCATGCCTTTCGCGATGCGTGATGACGTCACAGCACATCAACACAACCTCACATGTGGCCTAGAGAGACGCCGTCGCTGTTTGCGGTGTTTTAGCATCTACTACCCGAAACACCGAATATAAAACACATATTACGGCTTTAATCGCGTGTCGCACACAGCTACTCCCGAGCCAACATGCCTCCCAAGAAACCCGCCCAGCCTGCGGCGAATAAAAAGACCCAGGAGAAGAAAAAAGAAAAGATTATTGAGGTAAAAAAAATCACACACGAGTTAGCATGTCGTGCTAACTGAGAGCTAACACAAGTTAACGATAAATGAACCATATTGTCAACGTTAACTCATCAGTAGTGGTTATGATTATTAAGTTACCATATAACAAATACCCTCATCACTTTACATACATGTTAAGAGAGTTATTATTAGCTAGCTGTCACGAGGCTAACTACATGTGTTTTAATATTAGCTCACATGCTAATTGGAGCTAACTCAAGGAGCTGATAAATTAACGGTTTAGCTGTTGTAAGTGTTCTAATCTGTCCTAATAAAGATGATTTATGTCCTCAAAATCATCAGGTATCACCGTGAGGCTTTACATGAACTGTAAATAGTGTTTATTATGATTATTTCTGTGCTTTTGTATTCATTATGTGGCTTTAAAGGGCGCAGGCCTGCTTACAGTCGGCCTCAAAAGACCAGATTTTAGCTTCAAACTGGCGAAAAGTTGTATTTTTGTAAACTTACATAGATTCTTCTGGAACTTGAGATGATTGTCAGTGTGGATGTTGGGATGTAAAAGCAGCTGGGGTCTTAAATGATTGTCATATCTTCCTGTCAAAGTGTCCATAACCGGCTTTTAGCCTTAGCCGCCTTTTGCTGCTCAGATCCCACTGCAACGTGTTAGCGGACAGCTGGGTGAATGCTGCACATTCAGACCCACGATTCAGACTTATGATTCAGACTCAATAGCTTCATTTACAGTGACTTCATTCCGTGTTCATGTCTGTGTGATATAAGAGCTGCGAAGTGTCTCCTGTACACAGTATCACCTGCCACATCTTACCACAGGTGCTAAGTGTGATTTATGGCCAGGTGTTAAAGGGAAAAGTTAGGTTTCCTTTACATATCATGGAAATGTATTAAATTGTATTATAATGAAGTATTGTGTGTTGATCTGAAGTCTGATTCAGCTCTTTGTTCTGTGCCATGAGACCTCTATTGTTGTCCAGAAACCATTGAATACTCATGAGCCACACAATGTTACACTACATTTCCCAGGCAAGTTTATTTCTAACAATTAAAATAAAACTGAAACCAAAAAGTCCTTTGACAGAAAAACATTAATAATATAAACTATTTTTGTTGTTGTCATGTATCATTGTAAAATATACATATAATTGTGGGTATTTGGAAAACATTTGAGGACATCGTGGCACTTAAAGTTGCAGGGGTATCTTTTACTTAAATGATGCAGATATTCCGTCGTTTGTAAAGTGTTTTGAATCAGAATACCTTTATTTGATATAATGGACGGTTGTTACAGCAGAGAGCCAAACATAGCTTTTAATTATCAAGAATGTGTTTATTTTGTTTATAATTGATATCCTATTTTTCATTTATTAATTGTCTTCTCCACTTTTTAAGTATTTGTATTTTAATGTCTGAACACACTGCTTCTGTAACAAAATATCTCTCCATCTCTATCTATCCACCTATCCACATATCCACCTATCCATCTATCTATCCACCTATCCATCTATCTATCCATCTATCTATCTATCCATCTATCCACCTATCCACATATCCACCTATCTATCTATCTATCCACCTATCCACATATCCACCTATCCATCTATCTATCCACCTATCCATCTATCTATCCATCTATCTATCTATCCATCTATCCACCTATCCATCCATCCATCTATACATCCAACCACCTATCCATCTATCTATCCATCTATCTATCTATCTATCCATCTATCTATCTATCCATCTATCTATCCATCCATCCATCCATCCATCCAACCATCTATCCACCTATCCATCCATCCATCTATCCATCCATCCATCTATCCATCTATCCACCTATCCACCTATCTATCTATCCACCTATCCATCTATCCACCTATCTATCTATCTATCTATCTATCTATCTATCTATCTATCTATCTATCCATCTATCCACCTATCCACCTATCCACCTATCTATCTATCCACCTATCCACCTATCCACCTATCCACCTATCTATCCATCTATCTATCTATCTATCTATCTATCTATCTATCTATCTATCTATCTATCTATCTATCTATCTATCCATCTCTATCCATCCACCTATCTATCCATCCACCTATCTATCCATCCACCTATCCATCTATCTATCCATCCACCTATCTATCTATCCATCTATCCATCCACCTATCTATCTATCCATCTATCCATCCACCTATCCATCTATCCATCCATCCATCTATCTATCTATCTATCTATCTATCTATCTATCTATCCATCTATCCATCTATCTATCCATCTATCTATCTATCTATCTATCTATCTCTATCCATCCACCTATCCATCTATCCACCTATCCACCTATCTATCCATCCATCCACCTATCTATCCATCCATCCATCTATCTATCCATCTATCCACCTATCCATCTATCCACCTATCCATCTATCCACCTATCCATCTATCCGCCTATCTATCCATCCATCCATCTATCTATCCATCCATCCATCTATCTATCCATCTATCCACCTATCTATCCACCTATCTATCCATCCATCCATCCATCTATCTATCCATCCATCCATCTATCTATCCATCCATCTATCTATCTATCTATCCATCTATCTATCCATCCATCCATCTATCTATCTATCCATCCATCTATCTATCTATCCATCTATCTATCCATCCATCTATCTATCCATCTATCCACCTATCTATCCATCCATCCATCTATCTATCTATCCATCCATCTATCTATCTATCCATCTATCCATCTATCCATCTATCTATCTATCCATCCATCTATCTATCCATCTATCCACCTATCTATCCATCCATCCATCTATCTATCTATCTATCTATCCATCTATCCATCCATCCATCTATCTATCTATCTATCTATCCATCTATCTATCCATCCATCTATCTATCCATCTATCCACCTATCTATCCATCCATCCATCTATCTATCTATCTATCCATCCATCTATCTATCTATCCATCTATCCATCTATCTATCTATCCATCCATCCATCCATCTATCTATCTATCCATCTATCCACCTATCTATCCATCCATCCATCTATCTATCTATCTATCTATCCATCTATCCATCCATCCATCTATCTATCTATCTATCTATCCATCTATCCATCCATCCATCTATCCACCTATCCATCTATCCATCCATCCATCTCTCTAATATATCTCAAGAAGCATCAACATATAAAAGATAGAAAACTAGAAAGGACACATCCAGTCCCAAAGGGTTATGGATCAGCAGCCAGGTGAAAGTATAACAGGTGGAATTATATTGCACATAAGGAGTGTTGCAGTCTTTGTTGCGGGTGCATCACCCTTCATTTGAAGAACTGCCCAATAGTAGAAACCATGATGGTTCCTGTTTTGTTTGAGGCAACGTGTTGTTGTTGTTGTTGTTGTTGTTGAGGTGAAGCTGCTTCATCGGGAGATTATTTGAGAATGCATTTTTCTTTTTAAACATGTATTTATTGATTTTTTTTACATTTATCACATTACACAAACGCAACACTCCCCAACATTAGAGATATGGCAGATTACAAAATAATGACATTTAAAAAGTCACGCAGTTACTAGAAATCAGTCTAAAGTACAGACCAAGGGTACAATCAATTACATTTGCAAATTCAACAGAATCACAACAAAAGCACACAGAGTGCAGCTCGCCGTTCTCCAAATAGATGAACCACATTCAACATGTCCTCTAAGTAGTTTAGTCTTTTCACTGTAACCTTCTGCAATGGGCCCATTTGGTATAAATGTAATAAAACAATTCTCAAACGCTGTAAAGTTCAGAAGCTTTCCCCCTTAGTGTTTGAGAATGCATTTGATTACATGTCCTCTGTTCTTTTTGCACATTTCTGTTTCCAGGACAAGACATTCGGCCTGAAGAACAAGAAGGGGGGGAAGCAGCAGAAGTTCATAAAGAACGTGGAGCACCAGGTCAAATCGGGAGGACCTCCGAGGACAAAGGTCAGCAGGAAATCTCTGTTCAATAACCATAGAGCGGTGCAGGGGTGTTGCTTTGAGTAGTTCCCCCCTGCAGGAAGCGGCTGGTTCCCTCGACACAAAGCAAACGGATTTCTCCAGAGGGTTTAGGAATATTGTAAAAAATAAGATCGTGGAAAACGAACCTGTTTGATAAATGCACGTTCTGTTCAGGATAATCTCCACATGTCTACTTTCATAATGTTCTAAGTAGACCCTCCAGAAAAACGCGGGCAAAAACCCTTGATTATGCGATCAAACGTGGGTTTATGTGGGAAGTTGCAGTGAAATTGCAAAATATGCGTAAAAAATAAATATTGGGCTGTCTTATTTATTCTCTCACACATTATCTCACCTGCCACTAACGTTAACCCCTTCACTATTCAATTAAACACATCCAATGTTTATTTATTGTAAAAGCAATTGGGCTATTTTAATCACACTCTCTCACACACACACACACACACACACACACACACACACACACACACACACACACACACACACACACACACTTCTCCACCTCATTCTGTTTTCATTTACTCGTTATCTGACCAGCTTCCATCTTGTAGGCTGCTCATCTCGTGTCTTGTAGCCCTCAAAGGGTTTTGGAGGTCGATGCCTCGGTGAACGTGAGTTGTTTGGCTTTCTTGTCCGCAGCAGCAGAAAGCATGTTCGAATGTTTGAATGAATCAAAGTGGGTCGTCACCGTCGATGTTCTCTTCTGCTCCAACACACAGTTGCACGGGGTGCAGAATAGTTTCGGGGAACTGCTTTGCCTTTAGCAGAAATGTTCGTGGGTAAATGAGATGGATTAGATTTGTTCATCTTGGTGTGTGAATTCCACACGTTCACACGACGGTGTTGTTTACCTTCTGTGATGCGCGGGCTGATGACGTCGCGTCATCATCATCATCATCATCATCATCATCATCACTTCACGTCAAGACGAGTTCACTTTTTTTTCCTCAACTTTGTGGAAAAATGCGGGGATTATTCGGCCTTTTGAAAATCGGCCTTTTGCTGATTATGCGGTAAATTCTGCGATCGCAGAATCACGTTTTTCTGGAGGGTCTAACTAATCATGAATCTAACGTCCAGAAGCTAAATGCTAACGTGATGCTATAAAGGAACTACAGGCGAGTCCAGCAGCACGACTTCAACGTCACGCCGACTTCAGATCCATATTCAAACACACAGATTCTAGATGGAACGAGTTGAAGCGTTAGTTTGAACACTTTGCAGGAGGCAGGGACTTGCTCTCAAGCAGAACAGAAACTAACTTAGAGGAGTGTTCACGTGTTCGGCGTAATGACGTTCAACGTAGGGCTGTGCAATTAATCGTATTTTAATCGCAATTACGATTTTGGCCTGCCACAATTACGAAAACAATATCGGAAAAAACGATAATTTAGCTTTGCTAGGTTGTGACCGTGCACTGCAACATATTTGATCTAATTTATTTTAGTCTAATTTATTTATCATATTTATATATGTTTAGTAGCTTGTTGAAGTGCGCTCCCAAATATTTGTTGATCTTGTTTAATGGTATTTATTATTTTGATATTATTTATTCAAATGTATTTTATTTATTGTTTTTCAGTTGGATTATACGTTCAGGTTAATCAAAGTTAAAAAGATACTGTTCAAATTATTATTTTAATTTGTTTTAAAGATAAATGGATGTTTTCAAAGTCAATGAATAATCGTATTTAATAATCGTGATATCAATTATTGACCAAAATAATCGTGATTATGATTTTTGCCATAATCGTACAGCCCTAGTTCAACGGCCTCCACGACTTCTGTAGTCCTGTCCAGCCTCTTGGTAACAACCATCGTTTCTCAGACACGTCCACTCCTCAGAAATCACCAGCTGATGGTTTAATGTCGTAGAACAAAACGTGATCCGTCTCTTCAGTGTGTCTCAACTACAGACCTTAGTTCAGATACTTTCCTAAACCCTACGGAGCGATCCCATTGGCTCTGAGACCAGGGAGCAGGAAGTGGTGAATGCTGACTCACTTCCTGGTTTTAGGACTCGTCCCTGCACCGCTCTGTGTCTGGGTTTCTCTGGGTTTTATTGAAATGTCCACAGATGTTTCTCTCTCTACCAAAGCCTCCTAAATGTCAGCTGTGATAATCACCTTGTAAGAGACAGAAGAACAAAGAAACATCGCAGCCGACAACAACCCTCTTCTCTAATCGTTTAGTCACTTTTAAATAGTGGAAAATGCCGCCTCTCAAATGTGTAGATTTTCTCCGTTTCATATCCCAGGTATGCGGGTAAGAAATGGTCTTAATCACAATATTATGTTTTGTTATACTGTAGACGTTCTTAAAACCACAGCATTCACTCCAGTCAATGGTTTTCCTGCTCAAAGATCTGTTTTCCTCCAGATCTCCTTGTTGTGATGCGTAAACATTATTTACTCGTTATACTCTGAGACAGTTTGCCTAAAATTACAGTTTAAAAATCACGATCTATTGCAATATAATAAATGGTAACGCCTGTATCACGATGCACATTGTATCAACATCAATACACCTCCTATATTAAAGTAAGTGCATCTTTGAGTGTTAGACGGATAAAGCAACTTCAAACTATTTAGAAGATTTATCAAATAGGAAAATAATCGTTAGTTGCAGCTCTGAACAGAAGTGTATGTACTCTCTCTAATGTGTGTGTTTCTCTCTCTCTGTGTGTGTGTGTCTCTCTCTGTGTGTGTGTTTCTCTCTCTCTCTGTGTGTGTGTCTCTCTCTGTGTGTGTTTCTCTCTCTCTGTGTGTGTGTGTGTGTGTGTGTGTGTGTGTGTGTGTGTGTGTGTGTGTGTCTGTGTCTCTCTCTGTGTGTGTGTTTCTCTCTCTCTGTGTGTGTGTTTCTCTCTCGGTGTGTGTGTGTGTGTGTGTTTCTCTCTCTGTGTGTGTGTGTGTGTGTGTGTGTCTCTCTCTCTGTGTGTGTGTGTGTGTGTGTGTGTGTCTGTGTGTGTGTCTCTCTCTCTCTGTGTGTGTGTGTGTGTGTGTCTCTCTCTCTCTCTCTCGGGGTGTGTGTGTGTGTCTCTGTGTGTGTGTGTGTGTGTGTGTGTGTGTGTGTGTGTGTGTGTGTGTCTCTCTCTCTGTGTGTGTGTGTGTGTGTGTCTCTCTCTGTGTGTGTGTGTCTCTCTCTCTGTCTCTCTGTCTCTCTGTCTCTGTGTGTGTGTGTCTCTGGGTGTGTGTGTGTGTCTCTGGGTGTGTGTGTGTGTGTCTCTCTCTGGGTGTGTGTGTGTGTGTGTCTCTCTCTCTGGGTGTGTGTGTCTCTCTGGGTGTGTGTCTCTCTGGGTGTGTGTGCGCGTCAGGCGGATGGCAAGAAGACGGATAAGAAGAAGGAGTTGGACGAACTCAACGACCTCTTCAAACCCGTCATCGCTGCTCAGAAAGTCGCCGCAGGTACACTTGATCCGACCATTAAACTATTATCGTATGGTAGATATTTGTTAACCCTTGAATCCTGTGTGTTTTCCTGCAGGCGTGGACCCCAAGTCGGTGCTGTGTGCGTTCTTCAAACAGGGCCAGTGCACCAAAGGAGACAAGTGCAAGTTCAGCCATGACCTCACCATGGAGAGGAAGTGTGAGAAGAGGAGTCTGTACGTCGACAAGAGGGACGACGAGCTGGAGAAAGGTCGGCGAATACTTTATACAATCATCCCTTAACCCAGTGGTTTTCAAAGTGGGGTTCATGCCCAAATAGCACTTTACCCCTGCTTACACCTATATGCCTCGAGCCTTCATTGTAACGGTCACACTGTGTATTTGCGTGGGGAGTGTTGCAGTAGAACATTCCTCTGTAGCGCCCGGTACATTAATGGGAAACCCTAAATGTTTGAGCACCCTCTATGAAACGTCAAGCTACCCCACAGCACCCCAAAAGAAATCTCTGAGCCTGACTTGTGTTGGGGGGGCCCGACTTTTTTTTCTCCAAAGGGGGGGGCCTGACAGAAAAAGTTTGAGAACCACTGCCTTAACCTGTTAAGCCCGATTGCCCCCGTCGGCACATAACTCCCGTTAGCGATCTTTTATACTTCATCGGATCTGCACAAACTAGATATCATCTGAAAGCTGAGATTCCACAGATTCCAATGGTAAACAGCAGGGGTGCCCAACCTTTTTTGAACCGAGAGCTACTTTTAAAGTTGCCAGTCTGCCGAGATCTACCAGTCCAAATAGAGGCGTAGCCATTACTGACGACCAGGTAAATACACACTTCTACTTGAATAAAACTGACCTTTGTTCGATTAATACTCCATAAAATACTGCAGATCCTTTATCTTACCTCTTTCTAATCTACACACAAATATTTAACTGAAGTTACACAACAGTGCTGTTGATACAGAGTTGGAGTTTATTCACACGTCACTACAGTGGGTAATGTTTTCAAGAAACATTGAACAGTGCTGCCACATATGACTCAGGAAAAAGAAAATACTCTGAACCCTTTCTTTGTCATTATATAAAAATAGTGTTGCTACAAAAGTATAAATTAGTCTTACTAATAAAACAACTCAGATCTGAAGCTACTCAGGAATCTGCTGCCAACGTGCAATAAAAAAAGTCAACATTAATAGAATCAAACCCTTTTTTGTTGCATTTTAGTAGATTATAAAAATAAATGCCTTTTTTAAAATAGGATGCAAGCAACACTAGTTTCTGAACCTGAGTTGATAATAGACTATAATCAATTTAAGTTTGCATTCTTATACCATTTTGTACAATAATTATAATGAATAAGTTCAAACAAACTCAAACTTACAGCTGATTAATAACGGTATCTAACTTGAGTTTTTATCATATCAAAAACCTGTCGAAATGCTTCTGTTATTTTTATTACGCGTCGCAGCCTCCAGGAATGCTTCTTTCACAACTTCGCCGTCTTTGAAAGACTTCATGTGTTTCGCAAGAACGTGACTGACACGATAAGATGCTCTGGTAGCAGCCTTGCTCTTGTTGTTGGGCCTGGTGAAAATGGACTGCTGTGCATTTAGCTGTCCTTTCAGGCCCCTCCCCTTTTGGAGCGTAGGGCAGAATCAGGAGGGAATTCCGTCTCGTAGCGTTTGTGCACTGTTTTGAAATGCCGCTCCTAAATGACCCTTCTTCGATAAAGCCACGCTCGCATTGCAGATGAGACAGATGGACTTTGAATTGGAATAGATACAAAAATAATCATCCTCCCACTCGGAGTGAAAATTATATATGTTTTGCTTCTGCCATAATTGCGGTCTTGTGTGTGTGCGGACTGTCACTCCTGTTGACACGGACAACGTCAGCGAAATACTGCCCACCAGCCGCGCCCCGACACATGGGGTCTCGCCGGCCAATCACAAAGCTTTGATGCGTTCAAGTGCATTATTCTGGACAGGAACATTATGTTATAGGACATTAACGATAAAACAGAATGTTGTTGTTCTATTTTTAGACACATCTCGCGATCGACTGGGAATCTCCCCGCGATCGACCGGTCGATCGACTGGTTGGGCACCCCTGGTATACAGTATCATCACTGTGTGACCAAAGCTCCATCATATTTATTACATTACATTTAGCTGACGCTTTTATCCAAAGCGACTTACAATAAGTGCGCTCGACCAAGAAGATACAACCTTGAAGAAAACAGAATCATAAAGTACATCAGGTTTCATAGAGCCAAAACATTTCAAGTGCTACTCAACTGGCTTTAGGTAAGCCAGCCCTTTATTAGTATATAAGTGCTTTGTTAATAGTTCTATCGCTCGAAGTGGAGTCGAAAGAGATGAGTTTTCAGTCTGGAAGATGTGTAAGCTATCTGCCGTCCTGATGTCAATGGGGAGCTCATTCCACCATCTTGGAGCCAGGACAGCAAACCCACGTGTTTCTGCTGATGGGAACTTGGGTATTTATGGCAATAAGCCTAGTTTTCATATAGAGTGTAACGGAGAAAGGTCGGGGAATACTTTATACAATGTGATATACTTTATACAATCGGGCTTAATCAATCACAACAATATTCAGGGTTCGTACGGGTGCTTGAAATCCTTGAAAATGCTTGAAATTTGACGTGGTGTTTTCAAGGTTGGGAAAGTGCTTGAATTTTGGGAATGGTGCTTGAAATTGAGATAAAGTGCTTGAAAATGTAAATGCTTTACTTTTACAATAAATGTCTGTCTGACTGAATAGTTCGCTTTTTAGATTAAAAGAAAAGAATTGCTTCGCTTCTAAAACAGCTCCGCTGCGCCTTCCCGCGCTATGCGCGCGACCTGCAAGTGTTTGTGTCACTGTGAGCTGGGCATTCTGATGAGAGAGAGATGACTGTGTGCCAGGAGGTTGCAGTTTCAACGAGCGTTGGCTAGCAGAAGACAAATACAAGCCATGGCTAAGACGAGGGTCAAGCCCACGAGTAGCCTCCTGCAAAGTTTGCAAAAATAACGATGCGAGAGTCTGCGCTGACGAGCCACATGAAAGGTACGCCGTAGGAGAGCATTTTAGATTAGGCTAACGTTGCATGTGACGTTTGTTTAAGCTAACGTTAGCGAGCTGAATAGCAAACTCGATTGAGGGATAATAATAATTGCAGGGGACAATCATTTCAGAGGAGCGTACCTATGTTATGTGCGTTACAGTCGCCATCGTGTGGTGTTCAGAGGATGAAGCACTCACGGCATTTCGTGTTATAGTCACGAAATATAATCTATTGATTCGACACAGAGCGAATTTGAAAGCAATGTATTTCTACTGGTAGTATGTTTCGTGCCTAAACCAAATGTGACTTGCTCTCTCGAAATCAGTCACATTGACCCGAAGACACATCTTCGTTTGTATTACTGGTCTGGGGGAAGCTCGCGGGTGTGTTTGTGTATTTGTGCGTTTGTGTACCGGGGAAACACTCACAAGAAACACCGGCTGTTGTTATGCCTGCTGTGACGTTAAGTTACTCCGTTCTCTGCTTGTAATTATGCCGAAGCTTCAAAGTTGTATTTATCATCTGAATTTGCTGAAACAAGTTTAATATTCTGAAAGCCAAGACTTTGTTTATTTGAAATCAGATGAAAACAAACTGTCTTTATATAAAATTGAAGTATTATTCAAGTAAAACTACATTTAGCTTTAATCCCATGTAATGGTAGAATGAACACAGTCTTCCTTTGAACATGTAGAAGTCAGGTGCCTTGAGTTGATTTACCTACAAATCATTGGACACATTTGTAAATATTATTTTCCACTTGTTTCCTTTGTGAGTCTATTTTTATGCAGCTCTGCGTCATTTTGTGGCTACAATTCAGACTAATACACTAGAGGTGGAATAAGTACTCAGGTATTGTACTTGAGTAAAAGTACTCAGATCTTGTACTTGAGTAAAAGTAGAAGTACTCAGATCTTGTACTTGAGTAAAAGTAGAAGTACTCAGATCTTGTACTTGAGTAAAAGTAGAAGTACTCAGGTCTTGTACTTGAGTAAAAGTAAGAAGTACTCAGATCTTGTACTTGAGTAAAAGTAGAAGTACTCAGATCTTGTACTTGAGTAAAAGTAGAAGTACTCAGATCTTGTACTTGAGTAAAAGTAGAAGTACTCAGATCTTGTACTTGAGTAAAAGTAGAAGTACTCAGATCTTGTACTTGAGTAAGTAGAAGTACTCAGATATTGAAGTACTCAGATCTTGTACTTGAGTAAAGTAGAAGTACTCAGGTCTTGTACTTGAGTAAAAGTAGAAGTACTCAGATCTTGTACTTGAGTAAAAGTAGAAGTACTCAGATCTTGTACTTGAGTAAAAGTAAAAGTACTCAGATCTTGTACTTGAGTAAAAGTAGAAGTACTCAGATCTTGTACTTGAGTAAAAGTAGAAGTACTCAGATATTGTACTTGAGTAAAAGTAGAAGTACTCAGATCTTGTACTTGAGTAAAAGTAGAAGTACTCAGATCTTGTACTTGAGTAAAAGTAGAAGTACTCAGGTCTTGTACTTGAGTAAAAGTAGAAGTACTCATATCTTGTACTTGAGTAAAAGTAGAAGTACTCAGATCTTGTACTTGAGTAAAAGTAGAAGTACTCAGATCTTGTACTTGAGTAAAAGTAGAAGTACTCATATCTTGTACTTGAGTAAAAGTAGAAGTACTCAGATCTTGTACTTGAGTAAAAGTAGAAGTACCAGAGTGTAGGAATACTCTGTTACAGTAAAAGTCCTGCATTCAAAATGTTCCTCAAGTAAAAGTAGAAAAGTATTCTCATCAAAATATAGTGAAAGTAGCGACAGTGAAAGTAGTCGTTGTTTGATTGGTCCATTTCAGAATAATATATATGATATGTTTTATAATGATTGATCATGAAAGTGTTCTCAAAGCTGGTGAAGGTGCAGCTAGTTTGAAGTACTTTGTATACTGCAGGGTAGCTGGTGGATTTACTCCAGGTGGAACTAAAGTCTGATTCAACACTTGGTTAGATTTCACATCATTCATCCACATCTGTGAAGTAACTAAAGGTATTAATACATGTAGTGGAGGAGAAGTACACCATGTACCTCTGAACTGTAGTGGAGTAGAAGTACACCATGTACCTCTGAACTGTAGTGGAGGAGAAGTACACCATGTACCTCTGAACTGTAGAGGAGTAGAAGTACACCATGTACCTCTGAACTGTAGTGGAGTAGAAGTACACCATGTACCTCTGAACTGTAGAGGAGTAGAAGTACACCATGTACCTCTGAACTGTAGTGGAGTAGAAGTACACCATGTACCTCTGAACTGTAGTGGAGTAGAAGTACACCATGTACCTCTGAACTGTAGTGGAGGAGAAGTACACCATGTACCTCTGAACTGTAGAGGAGTAGAAGTACACCATGTACCTCTGAACTGTAGAGGAGTAGAAGTACACCATGTACCTCTGAACTGTAGTGGAGTAGAAGTACACCATGTACCTCTTAACTGTAGAGGAGTAGAAGTACACCATGTACCTCTGAACTGTAGAGGAGTAGAAGTACACCATGTACCTCTGAACTGTAGAGGAGTAGAAGTACACCATGTACCTCTTGAACTGTAGTGGAGTAGAAGTACACCATGTACCTCTGAACTGTAGAGGAGTAGAAGTACACCATGTACCTCTGAACTGTAGTGGAGTAGAAGTACACCATGTACCTCTTAACTGTAGTGGAGTAGAAGTACACCATGTACCTCTGAACTGTAGTGGAGTAGAAGTACACCATGTACCTCTGAACTGTAGAGGAGTAGAAGTACACCATGTACCTCTGAACTGTAGAGGAGTAGAAGTACACCATGTACCTCTGAACTGTAGATGAGTAGAAGTACACCATGTACCTCTGAACTGTAGTGGAGTAGAAGTACACCATGTACCTCTGAACTGTAGTGGAGTAGAAGTACACCATGTACCTCTGACTTATGTTCACTTCCAACCTAAAAGTACCTCAAAAATAGTAATCAATAATGTATTAAAGTTATTTGGCTGATTGTTGTATATCGGCTCAGCCAGGTTTTATGGGAGGCCCAGTCTACGACGTACAGATCACTCATTTTGAAATATTAAACTTTGTTTTCTTTTCTTTAATTTTTCCTCCTCGTGTAGAAGGCTATCACGAAACACACATTTGGTTGTTTATCGCATAAAGAACATCTGATTTAATGTGAGGTGGGGAAATAATCATTTGAGTATGTGTATATAAATATGTAATTTACAACAGCTGTAAGCTGCTTGAAAAGCTGGAAAATGCACCTTGAAAATGCTTGAAAAGTGCTTGAATTTGACTTTGGAAAAGGTGTAAGAACCCTGAATATTCACGAAACTGTGTCTCAGGGCTTCTTAACATTTAACAAACTATGAATGTGTCATCCTTAACGGGAAGAAACTCAGCTATCAGACAATATTAACCATTTTTAGCAAAACGAAACACAAGGGTAACACCAAGCCTCTGAATTAGCACTAAGCGAAAGGGTGCTAACGCACTTAGCACAGAACTCACGGTAGAAATATGTTCTACTTCATGCGATCGTCAATCATCAAAATCGACCAATGGGTTCCAGAGAAACGGCAAATCCACCCAAATCACCCCAGAGGTGGGTTTTTTTCTAAACCTCTCTAAAAAGGTCAAATGTCACTTGTTTTGCATCAATCTTGATACAGGGTACTTATTATGTTATAGTTTGGATTCCTAAAGCTTTTAGTCTACTAACCCAGGGGTTCCCAAACGTTGCCATGCCAAGGACCCCATATAGCATTATCCTCTGCCGGGGACCCCCCTGTTGCAATCTTTTTTTAAATGATGAGTACATTATCATGGAAAATATGACAAATTAACATACAGCTTAATACATTTTCTTAATATATATTTGTATTAATAATCAGTTATTCTTCAAAAAAATGTTTGTATTCTTTTGTTTGTCATTCATTACATTGATTCTGTGTTCTGTTATAAACATTCTTAACACAATATTAAACAGTAAACATATTTTAAAGCATTTTTAAAGTGATTTCTGTCTTTATATTATATCATTTTGAACAGTAATATGAACAATTAACATATATTTTTAGCATTTTTGAAAGCTAGCTTAATAATATTATATATAATATTCAGCAGTAATATTAACAATAAACATATTTATATTCATATATATAAACATCAATATTTGCTACATACTGCTCTCATCCGGCTGCAGAGCGAAATATTCACTCGCTCTCACTTGCTCCAAAAGCTGAGCAGATACTCAGTTTCACTCTCAGTAGCGGCAGCTCGATTCTGATTGGCTTGAAGGCGGTCGTGTGATTTAAAAATAAAATATTAATAAATAAAAATTGGCATCAAAGGACACATAGATTGATAAATATGCAGTTATTTATAACATCTTAAAAAAAAAAAATGTAACTTTAAAAAAAGAAAAAAATTCCCCTTTCCCTCAAACTTTGCGTGACCCCCCTGGCGGCCCCCCGGGGGGGTCGGGGCGGCCCCCCGGGGGGTCGGGGCCCCCACTTTGAAAAGCACTACTAACCCATCATTCAAGGGTGGTTTTCACTATAAGTCGTGTTTTTTTGGACGGAAACTAATTTACATTTTTTTACTGTGTTCAATCTGAATTCCCTTAAAAATAAAAAACATATTTATTGATTCTGACTTTTCTTCATCCAGCTCACAGCTTTATCATTACTTTGAGAACAAAGATTATTAATTGAACCCTTTGAGAAGAGAAGATCATTTGTTTAACAGGTTAAAAGTAAAACACATTTCTCTTTAGTAAAATATGAGAAACACGGGAGAGATAATATCACCATCATCCAGGACTGTTCTGAGTTTATTTTCGCTTTCACGGAGACTTGGATTCTACTTTCAGGGTTTAGTTGTTTATAAAAAGCTTAATTATGTGTTAAATGAATGTTGTTGTTATTGTTTGTAGACACGATGGACGGCTGGGACGAGAAGAAGCTGGAGGAGGTGGTGGCCCATAAGCACGGAGAGTCAGAGAAGAAGAAAGTCAAAACAAATATCGTAAGTCTTATTAATAAAGGAGAAGATCAGGAGGCAGGTGCATGATGGGAAACTGCACTCTTATCAAATGATCAATTGGAAAATGTACAGATGACTAAGAGATAAAAAGGCTTTGTGTTTTCAGCCACTGAAACATTGCACTAGCTCTATTGCCATGTTGATACAACTTCCATTAAGTGTGTGTGTGTGTGTGTGTGTGTGTGTGTGTGTGTGTGTGTGTGTGTGTGTGTGTGTGTGTGTGTGTGTGTGTGTGCGCGCAGGTGTGTAAGCACTTCCTGGACGCCATCGAGGGCAACAAGTACGGCTGGTTCTGGGCGTGTCCGTCAGGCGGAGAAGTCTGCATGTACCGCCACGCTCTGCCACCGGGCTTCGTCCTGAAGAAAGACAAGAAGAAGGACGAGAAGGAGGAAGAGAAGATCTCACTGGAGGAGCTGATCGAGAACGAGGTGAGGAAGGAGGGACGAAATATAGAAATATGGTGCTAACAAGTGTCTAAATGAGACGATTAAAGTCATCACGCCCAACTTTAGCCACCTTTAGCTTAGCGGTGGTGACAGGAAGTAATGTGACCGTGCTGTAGTTCCTTTATAGCCCAACATTAGCCTCCTTTAGCTTAGCGGTGGTGACGTGAAGTCATGTGACCGTGCTGTAGTTCCTTTATAGCCCAACATTAGCCTCCTTTAGCTTAGCGGTGGTGACGTGAAGTCATGTGACCGTGCTGTAGTTCCTTTATAGCCCAACATTAGCCACCTTTAGCTTAGCGGTGTTGACGTGAAGTCATGTGACCGTGCTGTAGTGCCTTTATAGCCCAACTTTAGCCACCTTTAGCTTAGCGGTGGTGACAGGAAGTCATGTGACCGTGCTGTAGTTCCTTTATAGCCCAACATTAGCCTCCTTTAGCTTAGCGGTGGTGACGTGAAGTCATGTGACCGTGCTATAGTTCCTTTATAGCCCAACATTAGCCTCCTTTAGCTTAGCGGTGGTGACGTGAAGTCATGTGACCGTGCTGTAGTTCCTTTATAGCCCAACATTAGCCGCCTTTAGCTTAGCGGTGGTGACGTGAAGTCATGTGACCGTGCTGTAGTTCCTTTATAGCCCAACATTAGCCCACCTTTAGCTTAGCGGTGTTGACGTGAAGTCATGTGACCGTGCTGTAGTTCCTTTATAGCCCAACATTAGCCTCCTTTAGCTTAGCGGTGGTGACGTGAAGTCATGTGACCGTGCTATAGTTCCTTTATAGCCCAACATTAGCCTCCTTTAGCTTAGCGGTGGTGACGTGAAGTCATGTGACCGTGCTGTAGTTCCTTATAGCCCAACATTAGCCGCCTTTAGCTTAGCGGTGGTGACGTGAAGTCATGTGACCGTGCTGTAGTTCCTTTATAGCCCAACATTAGCCGCCTTTAGCTTAGCGGTGGTGACGTGAAGTCATGTGACCGTGCTGTAGTTCCTTTATAGCCCAACATTAGCCTCCTTTAGCTTAGCGGTGGTGACGTGAAGTCATGTGACCGTGCTGTAGTTCCTTTATAGCCCAACATTAGCCTCCTTTAGCTTAGCGGTGGTGACGTGAAGTCATGTGACCGTGCTGTAGTTCCTTTATAGCCCAACATTAGCCTCCTTTAGCTTAGCGGTGGTGACGTGAAGTCATGTGACCGTGCTGTAGTTCCTTTATAGCCCAACATTAGCCTCCTTTAGCTTAGCGGTGGTGACGTGAAGTCATGTGACCGTGCTGTAGTTCCTTTATAGCCCAACATTAGCCACCTTTAGCTTAGCGGTGTTGACGTGAAGTCATGTGACCGTGCTGTAGTTCCTTTATAGCCCAACATTAGCCACCTTTAGCTTAGCGGTGTTGAGGTGAAGTCATGTGACCGTGCTGTAGTTCCTTTATAGCCCAACATTAGCCTCCTTTAGCTTAGCGGTGTTGACGTGAAGTCATGTGACCGTGTTATTGTTCCTTTATAGCCCAACATTAGCCTCCTTTAGCTTAGCGGTGGTGTCGTGAAGTCATGTGACCGTGTTATTCTCCATGTGTCTGATTGAACTCTCGTCTCTCCACAGAGAGCGGCGTTGGGAGCTAACGTCACTCGGATCACTCTGGAGACTTTCCTGGCCTGGAAGAAGAGGAAAAGGCAGGAGAAGGTGGGAACATGTTGTATATATTTTAAAGAAACATCGGTTAGTTACAAAGCTCTGACCATAGAAGAAGAACTGAGAGCCGTGTTGTTGATGTCCATCTTGTATACGGGCGTCATGTTCTCGAGAGAATTTATATATCTTATAATCAAGATCAGAGACACAGAACTCATGCTATAGTTATAGATGTGTTTATTTATTATAAAGGGACAATGCACATCTGATAAGAAACTGAAAACACGCCATAATATATATTTGTTTTTGCACAATTTAAAATACACAAAAATAGAATATTACTAATAATATAAAGAGCAGGAAGAGGCAGAAAATCCTTTAAAAAAAAAGCCTCACATAGAAACTATTAAAATACACGATGTTTAACAAGATTATTATTAAAATAGGTAAATGAATTAAACCAGTAGAACGAAATACACAAAATGAATAAAGGAAATGTGTTAAAGTGAATAATTACATTCACACGGTCAGGTGATCCCGAGGTGGCAGGTTTTCATTTAGGTCTCTAAACATTAACGATGTGTTTTTAATCCCCATCTCCTCCTCGAACAGATTGAGAAAGCGAGGGAGCAGATGGAGAAGAAGAAGGCCGACTTCAAGGCGGGGAAATCGCTAACGGTGAGTCGGACATCTTGTTTATGACGCTTCACATCCCATAATCCCTCAGTGGAGCGGGACTAAATCAAACACCTGGGTCTTCGGTGTACTCACCTGTATGTTCCTTCTGCTCGGTTAGAAGCTGGCTTTGTCCTTTGGGATTTATTTACTCATTTATTATATTATTGTGTGTTCCCCCAAAGTGTGCTATAAGTGGGGGAAAAAGGAAACAAGGAGACAAGGGGAGAGTATAGGAGGGGGGGGGTCGAGAGGAAACAAGGAGATATTATAGGAGATGGGGAGTTGAGAGGAAACAAGGAGACACAGCGAGATTATAGGAGACAAGGGGAGTTCAGAGGAAACAAGGGGACACAGGAGATTATAGGAGATGGGGGAGTTGAGAGGAAACAAGGAGACACAGGGAGATTATAGGAGTTGAGAGGAAACAAGGAGACAAAGGGAGATTATAGGAGACAAGGGGAGTTGAGAGGAAACAAGGAGATTATAGGAGACAAGGGGAGTTAAGAGGAAACTAGGAGACACAGGTAGATTATAGGAGACATGGGGAGTTGAGAGGAAACAAGGAGATTATAGGAGACAAGGGGAGTTGAGAGGAAACTAGGAGACACAGGGAGATTATAGGAGACAAGGGGAGTTGAGAGGAAACAAGGAGACACAGGGAGATTATAGGAAACAAGGGAACACGGGGAGATTATAGGAGACAAGGGGAGTTGAGAGGAAACAAGGAGACACAGGGAGATTATAGGAGACAAGGGGGGAGTTAAGAGGAAGCAAGGAGACACATGGAGATTATAGGAGACGAGGGAGATTATAGGAGACGAGGGGAGTTGAGAGGAAGCAAGGAGACACAGGGAGATTATAGGAGACAAGGGGAGTTGAGAGGAAACAAGGAGATACAGGGAGATTATAGGAGACAAGGGGGTAGTTGAGAGGAAGCAAGGAAACACAGGGAGATTATAGGAGACGAGGGGAGATGGGGAGTTGAGAGGAAACAAGGAGATACAGGGAGATTATAGGAGACAAGGGGGTAGTTGAGAGGAAGCAAAGAGACACAGGGAGATTATAGGAGACAAGGGGAGATTATAGGAGATGGGGGAGATTATAGGAGATGAGGGGAGTTTATAGGAGACAAGGGGAGACTATAGGAGACGAGGGGAGATGGGGAAAGGAAACAAGGAGACACAGGGAGATTATAGGAGACAAGGGGAGATTATAGGAGATGGGGGAGATTATAGGAGACGAGGGGAGATTATATGAGACAAGGGGAGATGGGGAGTTGAGAGGAAACAAGGAGACACAGGGAGATTATAGGAGACGAGGGGAGATTATAGGAGACGAGGGGAGATGGGGAGTTGAGAGGAAACAAGGAGACAGGGAGATTATAGGAGACGAGGGGAGATGGGGAGTTGAGAGGAAACAAGGAGACACAGGGAGATTATAGGAGATACGGGGAGATGGGGAGTTGAGAGGAAACAAGGAGACACAGGGAGATTATAGGAGACGAGGGGAGATGGGGAGTTGAGAGGAAACAAGGAGACACAGGGAGATTATAGGAGACGAGGGGAGATGGGGAGTTGAGGGAAACAAGGGGACACAGGGAGATTATAGGAGACGAGGGGAGATGGGGAGTTGAGAGGAAACAAGGAGACACAGGGAGATTATAGGAGACGAGGGGAGATGGGGAGTTGAGAGGAAACAAGGAGACACAGGGAGATTATAGGAGACGAGGGGAGATGGGGAGTTGAGGAAACAAGGGGACACAGGGAGATTATAGGAGACAAGGGGAGATGGGGAGTTGAGAGGAAACAAGGAGACACAGGGAGATTATAGGAGACGAGGGGAGATGGGGGAGTTGAGAGGAAACAAGGAGACACAGGGAGATTATAGGAGACGAGGGGAGATGGGGAGTTGAGAGGAAACAAGGAGACACAGGGAGATTATAGGAGACGAGGGGAGATGGGGAGTTGAGGAAACAAGGGGACACAGGGAGATTATAGGAGACAAGGGGAGATGGGGAGTTGAGAGGAAACAAGGAGACACAGGGAGATTATAGGAGACAAGGGGAGATGGGGAGTTGAGAGGAAACAAGGAGACACAGGGAGATTATAGGGGAGATGGGGAGTTGAGAGGAAACAAGGAGATACAGGGAGATTATAGGAGACAAGGGGGTAGTTGAGAGGAAGCAAAGAGACACAGGGAGATTATAGGAGACAAGGGGAGATTATAGGAGATGGGGGAGATTATAGGAGACGAGGAGAGTTTATAGGAGACAAGGGGAGATTATAGGAGACGAGGGGAGATGGGGAGTTGAGAGGAAACAAGGAGACACAGGGAGATTATAGGAGACGAGGGGAGACAAGGGGAGATTATAGGAGACGAGGGGAGATGGGGAGTTGAGAGGAAACAAGGAGATAGGGAGATTATAGGAGACGAGGGGAGATGGGGAGTTGAGAGGAAACAAGGAGACACAGGGAGATTATAGGAGACAAGGGGAGATGGGGAGTTGAGAGGAAACAAGGAGACACAGGGAGATTATAGGAGACGAGGGGAGATGGGGAGTTGAGGAAACAAAGAGACACAGGGAGATTATAGGAGACAAGGGGAGATGGGGAGTTGAGAGGAAACAAGGAGACACAGGGAGATTATAGGAGACAAGGGGAGATGGGGAGTTGAGAGGAAACAAGGAGACACAGGGAGATTATAGGAGACGAGGGGAGATGGGGAGTTGAGAGGAAACAAGGAGACACAGGGAGATTATAGGAGACGAGGGGAGATGGGGAGTTGAGAGGAAGCTTGGGATAAGTGAACAAAGCTCCTTGTTGTAGAAATGTAATGACATGGAAATGAAACTGTTCTCGCAGGTGAGCGGACGCGAGGTGTTTGAGTTTCGTCCAGATTTGGTGGACGAAGATGACGATGAAGCCGACGACACTCGATACATCAATGAA